TTATTTGAAGCCCAATTCATGGTTATTAGGTTTAGGACTTAAGGTGTTAGTTTCCTATTCTGATTAAGATTTGTTTTCTCTATTTAAAAGGCTTGTAACCCTAATGGGGAGGGAGGCTATTGAATCTAAGATTTTGAGAGACTTTTTTTCTCTTTGGTTTGTTTCAGAACTTTACATAACTTTTCAAGATTATTCTTGTGGTGTTCTAACCTGACTTATCATTCTCGTTCTTAATTGTTCGAGGGTGTGGCGTCATAGACAACGGATCAAGGTTTTTACCTTTGGTTCTTATTGCGACATAAACAATGGGTCAAGGTCCTATTATAAACTTGATTTAGCTTTCCTGGAGTTTAGAAATCCCTTGTCATGCTGTGGGTCTCATTGTTCTCTTTGGGGTTCTCATCATCTTGGTATAAGAGCATCAGATCCCTAAATCAGGTTTGCGTATCTTTAGTTTTCAATTTTTACATCAAAAAAAAAATTAGGGTTTTTTTCTTTCTTGTCTGCAACTCTTTTCATCTTGTTCTGTTGAATCTGTGTTGCTGGTTCTGAAGAAAAAAAAAATCAGAGAGAGAAAAGCACGAAAAAAAAAATCAGAGAATGCTAAGTCATGTTAGAACGCCACAAGAATAATCTTGATAAGTTCTGTAAAGTTCTGAAACGAACCAAAGAGAAAAAAAAAAGTCTCTCAAAATCTCAGATTCAATAGCCTCCCTCCCCATTAGGGTTACAAGCCTTTTAAATAGAGAAAACAAATCATAATAAGAATAGGAAACTAACACCCTAAGTCCTAAACCTAATAACCACAAATTGGGCTTCAAATAAGTGAATGTTCAGCCCAAAAATAATACAAAAAACGTGAAAATCACTAAAAATAACCTAAAATAACACGAAATATCAGTTTGCTACAAATTGTGGCAGAATTGTGCGATTTTGACGCAAATTGTGTAATTCTGTGCAAGTGACCACAACTAAGCTTCTCTTGAACCTAAATGATGTTTACCATGCCTTGATAATCATCCAAGCTTTAATTTGCTTGTTGTATGTTGTTATCAACCTAGATTTGCTCAATAAGGCCATTTAAAGCTTCTCGCATCTTCCCAACTCTAACTCTCTTGATTGGACCTCTTGGAATGTGTAATAGATCTCTTGATGTGGTACATGTGGGGTCATCTTGATCTCCATCAAGAAGGTTGTTGGAGATTGTACACTCTGATATTTGTGGACCAATTAATCTAGTTTCCAATGGAGGTAAACACTATTTCATTACTTTTATTGATGATTTTAGTAGAAAAACATGGGTGTACTCCTTACAACAAAAGTTTGAAGCTTTAATGGCTTTCAAAAGCTTTAAAGCTATTGTTGAGAAGGAAGTAGAGACTCAAATTCAGGTGCTTCGTACTGATTGTGGAGGAGAATATAGCTCACAAGAATTTGGAAATTTTTGTGAGACACATGGAATCAAGAGACAACTGACAGTAGCCTACACACCTCAATAGAATGGTGCTTGTGAAAGGAAGAATCGCACTTTTTTAAATATGGTGCGGAGCCTTTTGAAGAAAAGCAACATTCCCAAGAATTTTTAGCCTAAAGCAGTCAACTGGAGCATTCATATTCTGAACAGAAGTCCAACCTTTGATGTCCAAAATGTGACACTTAAGGAAGCATGGAATGGAAGAAAACCAGGTGTGGATTATTTTAAATTTTTTTGTTGTATTGCTTATGCTCACATTGCAGATGAGAAAAGGAACAAATTAGATGTAAAAGGAGAAAAGTTTATCTTTCTTGGTGTTAGCAATCATTCCAAAGCATACAAGTTGTACAATCCAAATACCAAGCAAATCATCATCAGTCGAGATGTGAAATTTGATGAAGGAAAATTTTGGGAATGGGATGAAGGCAAAGCTGGACAAAAGCTATCAGTTGTTTTTTATGGTGAAATTGAAGAGAAAAAGCAACAACAATCCATGGAGAATGAGGAACAAACATTAGAAAGTCAAAGTATCATTCCAGTAACTCCAGCAACCCCACCAACTCTCATTATAGAAGCTGAATTAGATGATGGACAGTGACCTCAACGTGTTAGAAAAGGCCTGCATGGATGCTTGATTATAAGGTACCTAGAATTGAACAAGCTGATGAGGAAGAACTGACATACTTTGCTCTATTTTCATATTGTGATCCTGTAGCTTTTAAAGATGCCGTTCTAGAGTCCAAATGGAAAAAGGCCATGGATGAAGAAATTGCAGCCATTGAAAGAAATAATTCTTGTGAGCTAATTGAGCTTTCGAAAGGCAAGAAGACCATTGGTGTTAAATGGGTGTATAAGACAAAGTTGAAAGAGAATGAAGAAGTTGACAAGTACAAGGCACGCCTAGCTGCTAAAGGCTACAAGCAGGAGTTTAGGGTTGATTATCAAGAAGTCTTTTCTCCGGTTGCAAGGCATGATACAATCAGATTGGTGATCTCCTTAGCAACACAGAACTCATGGCCTGTTTTTCAACTTGATGTAAAATCAGCCTTCTTACATGGAGACTTGGATGAGTAGGTATTTATTGAACAACCCCCTGGTTATATTAAAGTTGGAAATGAGCATAAAGTGTATTAGTTGACAAGGGCACTTTATGGACTAAAACAAGCCCCATGAGCTTGGTATAGTCGTATTGAAGCATATTTTTTGAAGGAGGGATTTCAAAAATGTCCTTATGAACACACACTCTTCACAAAAATAGAAGGTGGGAATATGCTCATTGTTTGCTTATATGTGGATGACTTGATCTACACTGGAAATGATAAGGCTATGTTTGATAAATTTAAGAAGTCTATGATGGCTGAATTTGACATGTTTGATCTTGGTTTGATGCATTATTATCTTGGCATAGAGGTTGATCAATTTGCTGTTGGTATCTTTATTTCTCAGACAAAGTAAGTTCAAGACATTTTGGACAGGTTTAGAATGAAGGACGACAATCCTGTCAACACACTAATTGATGCAGGAATGAAGCTAGCTAGAAATCCTGAAGGAAAGAAAGTCAACAGCACTTTGTATAAGCAAATGGTGGGAAGCTTGATGTATTTAACTGCTATAAGACCAGATATCATGCATGTTGTGAGCCTTATCAGCAGATACATGGAAAGTTCAAAGGAAATGCATCTCTTGGCAGCAAAAATAATTCTCAGGTACTTGAAAGGTACAGTTGAGTATGGTTTATTTTATAAGAATGGAGAAAAGTCAAACATGTTTGGCTTCACAGATAATGATTTTGCAAGGGCTCTTGATGATAGAAAAAGCACATCTGGTTATGTTTTTATTATGGGAACAGTAGCTATTTCATGGTCATCAAGAAAGCAACCAACTATGACTTTATCAACAATTGAAGTTGAATTTGTAGCGGCAACATCATGTGCTTGCCAAGCAATATGGTTGCAGAGAATTCTTGAAGAATGTCATTTCAAATAGGAGGAACCACTTGTTATTTTTTGTGACAACAACTCAACAATTAAGTTGTCCAAGAATCCTGTTCTTCATGGAAGATGCAGGCATATAGATGTGAGGAATTATTTCTTGAGGGACCTTGTGAAAGAAGCGGTCATTGATCTTGTCTACTACAGAAGTGAAGACTAGATTGTTGATATTTTTACCAAACCTCTCAAGTTGTCAACATTTCAGAAACAAAGGAAGTTGCTCGGCGTTTGTGTGTTAGAGAATTTATTAAACTAAACTTTGATACAAAGTTTAGTTTGAGGGTTTGTTGAATAAGTCTTACATTATCTGTTTTTTATTGTTCTATTCTTTAGGAATTTGTTAGGTATGTGCAATTGTGTTTCCCATTTTTAGTAGTGCATATCTTATTTGTAGTTTAGTGGTTTTAATGGCTTAGTGGTGTTATTTTATTGTTTAATTCAGTTGCAGTTTTGCATTTTATGTATGAGTCATTTTTCTATTTGTTGAATGAGATATTCAGGACCATTTTTTCCTCTTCCAATTGGCTTGAGTTTACTATCTTTCAATTCCTTTCACTTGCTTAAACTGTTTATGCCCAGCAAGTGTTTGATTTAATTCCTCAAAGAATATTCAGCTTGAAGCTTTTTGTTCAACTCTGTTTTCTCTACATGTTTCTCATGCCTATTTCCTTCATCTTACTCCTTGGTAAAGTATTTGTTAAGGACACGCAACGCCCTTCATCAGATCTAAGTCCAATTTTCATCTTCATCATCCTTTCTGATTTTCCTTTTTTTTCTTCTCTCTCCTCCCTCCTTTTCTTCTTTGTTTTTCTCTTTTTGCTGAGAAGCCACCCAAAAGAACTTAATCTAGATTCAAAACCCACGTGGGTTCTTAATAGATTGAATGCGATTTGGGTTCATGAATCCAAAACGTGGCTTTCAATCTGAAAGTTGAATTTAGACTGGTTAAGACTAAACTGTCTGGTGGAAGTGATGTGTTCGAGCCAAAATCGAATTAAGATTTTTTTTTCATTTTAATTGAAGATTTCTCATATTTTAATCCAATTTAATTTCATCTTTTAGGGGTTCTTTTTTGCTGTAATGAGGGTTCTTCAATTGATTCTGAATTTGGATAAAATTTGAGCATTAAGAATTGTTTGTTGTGGTTAATTTGAGAACGAGTTCCTAATTTTTCTGGAAGAATTTTCATTCTTCTTTCTAGGTTTTTTCTGGGAAATTGTAATGTATTTTTTTAGTAGGTTCTTGGGTTAATTCTTAATTCAAATATGGGGAAGTTCCTAAAATTTCTTTATCCATATTCATCGTTGTTTTTTTTTTGGTTTCCCGCCTAGTATCCGAGGTTTCGTCCCGATTAATCCGGACCTGACCCACGTCGCACACCTGGAAATGGTGGATGAGTCTCCCAGCGAGGACTGCTGCATTCACAAGGTCTCGAACTCGAGATCTTGCTTAAGTTAGAACAAACTACTTATCACTTGATCCAACCCCTCATTGGTCATATTCATCGTTGTTGTGGATGAAGAGATGCAGGTGCTAAGAGCTGACTATGCTCTTCAGTTTTTGTTTCTGTTTTTTTTTTTTTTCTTTAAATTAAACCTTTCATTAAGTCATTTGAATTTAATTAATGGATACTTAATTTGTTGATTATCTTTATTAAATTATTATTAAAGGAAGGATAAGTCATTTTTGAATTTAATTAATGAATAATTAATTTGTTAATTATTCCTTAATTAAAGGATTATAATTTGCATAAGATATATGGGTCTGTTATAATTTAAATTGTTTTGTTGGTGAGCTGTATCCCTATATAAATTCACGGTGAAAACGGTATTTGCTAACCTGGACTACTTATTTCCCCAAAACCTCACGCGTGGAAAGCTTTTCGCCATATAGCACAGAGATCCAAATAGGGACCACCCCGAAAAAAAAAAAAAAACAAAAACAAAAACAAAACCAAAAACGCTCATTTCTTCCATTTTCTCACCATTTTTTATAAATGCTCTTTCCCATCGTCGAAAGAGAGGGTCAAGGATAAGCTAAAATCATCGATTTGCTGTTTCCATACGACGGATCACGGCGAGGCAGCGACGATAGACCTGGACAAGTTGAAGTCAAGGACGCTGTAGTCATTGTACACTTGGCTAAATCAACGGCGCATGAACTGGAGATCAAGGATAGGTGCAAGAATTTGATTGCCAGAATCGAGAAGCAAGGAGGTCGCAGGCAGCATGGTTCGTCCGATTTCAGCTACGATCCTCTGAGCTACACATTGAACTTCGAGGACAAAGCGAGCCAGGCATACGAGATGCTGGTTATTAGCTTCTCATCCGACCTCATGCCTCGTCAGAGCAAATCATTGGGACCAACTGCAAAAACAGCCTTCTGTGTCGGCAACGAGAGAGATCATTCTGAACAGCTGACAAGCACAGATTCATTCGGTTTATTCAACTAATAAAAAAAAATTCAAATTTTTGAAGGAATGTTGCAATCGTCGGATCGGACATTGGAATAATAAATCCAGCTCCTAAAACTCCATTTTTTCTCTATATCATTCAAGAAATCAAAAGCTGGAATTTTTTCGATTTCCAATACATTTTCTCACCCAATTTCCAAACCTAGCTTCCTTTCTCTCTTCCTTTTTCCGGGTTTTTAAGGGTTTTCTCGTTTTCCTTTTCTCTGGAAAGAAGAAGAACCCAGAAACGCAGTGAGTATGATGTTTGATTATGTGATTTTTTCTTGGATTATTTGACATAGGAGAGGGAATTTTCCTGGGGTTTTTGTTTCTGGTTTTGTAAGCTAGTTTGGTGTTTTGAAAGGCACGAAAAGATTAGATCGGGTTTTCAATGGAGGCTAGAACAAGAACCGAATACTGACATTTTGAAGGCAAAAATGAATTTCACAGAGGAGAAAAACCTAGATCCCCAATTTTAAGCTTTGGAGTGGGTGAGTTTTTAGGTGAGTTTTTAGGGAAATAATTAGCACAGGTCACAAATCAGGGGCCATCTCATAAAAAATAATAATAATAATAATCCACATCAACCCATGTCATAAAATGGGGTCCCAAATGTGTGAAGTCAATAATGTATTAACGAAAGGAAAATGGTTTCACGATAAATTGACGTTACATTATATTTTAACTAATTCATTTTAATCAAAAAAATAAATGTATTAATTTATTTTAATATATAAGTGATGTGATTTAAATATTATAAAAAATGTTACGTGATTAATTTTAATAATATCAAAAAGTACATGGGTTAAAATACTTTTTTCATCATAAATTCATGTCATTTTTGTTTTAGAAGGGTTGCTATAAATTTAGAGAAATGATTTTTGAGTAATTCTTTTGTATCATTTTTTGTATAATTTGACGTGTCATTTAAATTATTAATTCTTTTAATTTATGTGAAACTTGTGATATTAAATACATTCATTTATTTAATGACATATAAAAATTATATCGAAAGATGATATAAAAATATTATCTTTATAACACGATTATAAATTTGATGTGTCAATCCACAGCAGCAAAAAAATGTCGAGGATTTGCCACATAGGTAGAGTTGACAGATAAAACGGTGCCACATCAGATTTTATTACCGGAAGGACCAAAATGGTACTAAAAATTCAAGTTTAATAACTATTTTAGTACTTTTGAAAGTTCAGGGAAAAATATGATATAAATATCAAAGTTGAGGGAATCTTCTTGAGGCTTTGACTTTGAGTTTACATTAATTTCTCTTGAATGTAATGCATTTTAATGTAAATTCTCGATTCCCCAGATTATGCGGCCAATAAAGCAAAGGCTTTTCTGATCAATGCATAGGGAGAGAGCGTGTTCATTTTCGGAGGTGGTACGGGACGGGAGTTCATCTTCTCTTTCATACAACTGATAAGGATCAGAACGCGATACAAAAAGAGTATGCAAGTCTGTAAAACTATGTTAGAGGGTGTTTGGTAAAGCTTACAAAGCACTTGACTGCAAAACAAAGCAAAGCTGTGAAAGCAAATCACAAACACACCTAGGGAGTATATGAAGCACGTACAGTATTGAAAAAATCAGCATGTTTAAAAACAATAACACAAGACACTGTGGGAAAATTTCTTAAGGATAAAAAGATGATCCAATTGGTA